TGTGTGCCGGAGTTGACTCTGATCCAATAGCGGACCATCTGCCTATTTTTTTGTTTTGCAAAACCAGTCGTCTGTAAATGCGAATCTTTGTGCTAAAATACGCACCAAGGTAAACTATGTCCTACTACGAAGTATATTAGAACAAACAAATTTTTATGCTTTGTATAATCGTGACATCAACAATGGATATCAAAACTTTGTTCATACTCTTAAAAACGCAGCAATGCAGAGCGCTGAAAGTAGGGCAAACAGCAGATATGGAGAGCCGGTCTGCCCTTGGATGACGAGTCAAATTTTAGGCGTACTGAAAGAGAAAGACAGCTGGTATCGTAAATGGAAACAAAACAAAAGCAACAAATATTATCTAGGACAATTTTAGCGATTAAGAAACGCATCTGTTTCTCTTATGCGGAAAAGGAAACGACAATATTACTCCTCTCTTATCGAACAAGCCGACGGGAATGCACAAAAGATTTGGGATATAGTTAATCACGCAATCGGCCTTCGCTCAGATCGACGTGTGCAACCCGAACTAGCCAACCAGGAAATGGTAGACAATTTTAATGACTACTTTACAAACAAAGGTCCTCTCCTAGCAGCACATTTGCCACATGTGATAGTTTCCACGAGGTTAACGGCTTCGGTTGTTAATACCTTTGTCATGCAGGAAATTGAGATGGCTGAAATTACGTCTACAATTAGAAGTCTTCGAGTAAACAAATCGGCCGGGCTCGATACCGTTCCAGTAAAATTAATAAAAGATAATATAGACATTTTAGGCGTTCATTTTCTACACTTGTTTAATCATTCATTGGAAAGCGCAATATATCCCGATGAGCTCAAAATAGCAAGGGTTGTATCCATTTTTAAAGAGGGAGATACTTCCGAGCTGTCTAGTTATCGACCAATATCAGTATTAAGTGTAATTAATACAATTTTTGAAAAAAATAATTTGTAAACACATTCAGGAATTTATAAGTAAGTACAATATTCTCTGCCCTATTCAGCACGGATTTAGGCCGAACCGATCCACCTCTTTGGCTGTACTCGTGTTAACCCAGCTTCTTAATAAGGCTCTTCATGAAAATAAAATTGCTGTGGTTGTTTATTTGGATATAAGTAAGGCTTTCGATACAGTTAATCACAACATACTACTGAACAAGCTTCATGAGTACGGTTTTAGGGGAAAGATATTAGAGTTATTTCAAAGTTATCTTTCTAAACGAACACAATGTGTAACGATTAATAATTTTATCTCTACACCACAAACAGTGCTTACAGGGGTACCACACGGCTCTGTTTTAGGGCCCATTCTTTTTTCTCTCTACGTCAATGATTTTCCTTCTGTTTTATGTCAGTCTGAAGCACTCATGTATGCAGACGATACGGCATTAGTTTTTGTCGGGGACACAAAAGGTGAACTACAAGGTAAAATAAATAAAGAATTAACAAGGGTCTTAACGTGGTTCACTAGTAACCAACTCACACTTAACATAAAGAAAACTAAGTACAGTGTGTTTCACTCTAGGAGAAAGCAAACAAATTCTGAAGAGCTAGCTATATACTTAGATAACGTGCAGTTGCTGCATGTTTCCTGTTACAAATATTTGGGTGTCTTGTTTGAAACCGATATGCATTGGAAGAATCAAATTAAAAACATAAGCACATTTGCACACGGATGCTACACACTACTAAAGGCTCGGGAGTTTTTTTAATTCGTCTATGCTGCGCATTCTATACTTTGCATTTGTACATAGTCACTTGAATTACTGTATAGAGTCTTGGGGCGGAACATACACCACGTATTTAGAGCCACTCAGTCGATTGCAGAAAAGGGCTATGAGACTCATTACTTATTCTAGATATACCGAACCAAGTGGTCCTCTAGTTCGATCAATTGGTGTGCTGCCACTAGACCTCCTATACAACTTAAAAATAGCTGAAACAGTCTTTAAAATAATAAAAACTAACGACCCACTCTCATTACATATATTTAAATTACCATTACGGAATACGAGAGCTGCAACAAATAATCTGTTTAATTTGCCATCTTGTCAAAATGTTTGTGGAGAAAGGCTTATTGAGTTCAACGTTGCCCTGGTATGGAATGATATCCCTACCGACATCAAATGTAAACCCAATGTATTGCCATCCTTAAAGAAGTATTTAATCAAATTGCGAGCCAATGAATAAGTTCAATATCATGACCTATATATATATTTTTTTCAATTAGTATGTATATTGTTTTGTGAATACTTTGATATGTGCGTACATTTGTTTTGTTTGCCTGCCGTAGTGTAAAGGTTATTTCTAATGTTGGACCCGCGACTAGCCTCCACGGCTATGGGTCCAAGCAACGATTGTATATTTAAAAAAAGAATAACAAAGGAATAATAAAGAAAAGAAAGAAAAAGAAAGAACGAAAGAAAGTACCACCCCAAGAGTGCAAAACCGTTCCGTATGACGATGCTGTTATGCAAAAACAGTGCTGCGCTGCCTGGTTCATAGGGAGATTTAGACGATCGTTCCGATATCTGCGATAGTGGTACCCGATAACGATACGACGATGCACGCGCAAAGGCGACGGCGGAGTATCGTGTATCATGATCAGAGTTACTGAAACGCTCTGCTACAGCTGTTGAACTCCCATAATAAGACCGACCGAAGACAAAGCAATGACGAGGCTAGGTTTAGGCGCTCGCTCGCTCCATCGTCGACGGTGCTTCTTCACGACACCGTCTTAGATAAGACGGACTGATTTCGTTAGGAGCAAGCCCGCCCAGAGGTCGAGGGAACCCCAGAAGCCGCAGTTCCAGCGTCCCGTCCGCCTTCGCATCTCGGAATGGCGCGCGGTGTCGGGCTCTCCGCAGTCGCGTCCTCCGAGCCATTTGCAATTAGACGCAGACGTCTTCCCCGACGCGCTGTGGGGGCCCCCGCGAAGGAGACTGTACGGGGGAAGGCAGAGCGAGACGGCAGCTGCCGTTCCGCTGGCTTGCGGCGACGTCGGCGGCCCGGCGCTGCCACAGGCGGGCCCCGGAAGCGAGTGCCGCCAAGGACGAATCGGTCTGGAGACCGCGCGCACGGCAGCGGCGGGGAACCGGCCGCCGCGTGCAAGGGCCGCCGAATCGCGCCATCATGCTGCCGAGGGCTCCGGGGGGATCGGGAATGCACGACCCCGGGAGGAGCCCATGCCGGAGGCGACGCGGTACCTCCGCTCGTGTGTCCAGAGCTTTAATATAATAATAATAATAATACTAATTTTTTATTTTGTGTTTCCACAAACAACTTCTCAGTCTCCACTGTGGTGCACAAAATACCAAAATACAAATACAGCAAAAACGAAAATACTCAATACAAATACAAAAAAAAAAAAAAATCTTATTCTAGGCGAAAGACATCGATTCACGAACAAGCAAGGTAAATTCCCGAAGACACATGAAAATATCCAGGTGATGTTCCTTATTCAAGGCCGATTGAATCCGTGACAAAGGGGATAGATCGGTCGTGGCGTCATCATCTGGGATGTAGTCACGTTTTATTGTTGTCGGTAAAAGTTTAAGAGATGTGAGCGTGCTTTATCTGCGTTCCGATAGTTCTCTGCAGTAATGAAAGAGGTAGAGGAGTTCTAACCCCTTTTGGATTGTTTTATCCTAAAGCTATAGGTTTTAACGGAACCGTGAAGATTGGTGTATTTTGTTGTACCACAGTATCCACCCTGCTAAAATCTCAATGAGGTTGCAGTATTGAATAAATAAATAAACAAACTATCTCTCTCCCTCTCCCTCTCTTTTTCTTTTTTTAAATACGAATGTCTGCGTGCTTCTTTGCGAATGCTGAAGAGGAGGTTGCCTCCTTCTAGTGTTCGCTCTGCTAAAATAGAAAGAGGATTTTACTTACTGTCATGAAGTCGCAGTAACCCGTATAAGAACAATAAAAAAAATCTTGCATTTTTGGGTCCATGTGTCCATGTTTTGTTTTAGTTCGCTACTAGGCGAGGGCTTTCGTTAGCTTGTAATGCTGTTCGGGAAAACGTATACTTGTGTTTGCTAAACGAAGCCTCATTTGACTCGCTCGCTTGCTATACAGTCGAGATGCCAGACGACTCATCTCTATGGTCTGGGAGGCTGAGTCGGTCGCGATAGACTTGACGTCTGCGCCATATACGAGTATATACCGCATTACTAGTGGGTTTAGGTGCTGCAACGTCAATATTTATTTGATTCAATCGAATACCTTTTGCTACACTTGGAAATGAAGTTTTAGAGAACGGGTATCTTCTCTGCACTCTGTAGACAGAACGCAGATTTGAATTGAATTCATCTTCGGCCGAGCGCTTATAGGGCTGACGGCTCAAGTGAGTGATGGGGGCATTCCTCAGTACTGGACTCAACTACAATTGATGTTCACTATATGTAGTTGCCGAAAAACGGCATTGGCGGATTCCACACTGTTCCGCGCAGGAACTATGGCGAAGGGTGGAGTTGCGAACTGTTGCTGTTGAATATGATTTGACTGCGGGAACGCTCGTGTAAACGTGTCACCTCATGATTTCTTAATGTGCTATAAATCAGAAACGCGTCCTAAATTAAGATTTAATCTCTAGACAACCAATAAAAAATTACAACGACGCGGTAGTTTGGTGTGGAGGTCTAACATTTCGTTATATATATTCAAGGCTCTGTTCGTAGTCTTCTTTTACGGCTGCTCATAGGGCCTAGTCGTGAGGATTTTGCTGTAATAATTACTTTTTATTGACGATGATTTCCTAATTGCTTAAATCATAAGAAACAATATTTTAATTACTGCGCGTGCCTCCTTAACATGGCGCACTCGCGGTTTGGCCCGTTTATGTCATAAGGCACAACAACCAAACCAAAACATTTTCGCCCCCCCCCCCCCCTCCTTCCGCAGAATTTTGTTGGAGGTGACTTCGTCAACGCTCGGTGTATAATTGTTACGTTGGAGTACTAATGAGCTCCTTCTTGTTTCTTTCGTTCCAGATTGACCCCAAAATTGCCTTCCCAAAGAGAGCGCATCCAAAGGTAAATGTTTTTTGTTGTTGTTTTCCGCAGTAGGAGGTTACGCATGATTGGAGCTCGCCTTGCCGCACATGTTTCTGTGCTTACGGATTTGTAGATCGAAGAGCGACGAGTGCCAAGGGAATAGAGAAACGCCCGGTCCAGCCGCGGGTGTCGCACGTTCCGTAGAGCGCACGCCCAATCATCCCGGTCGACGCTGCATGCGCTCCGAACTAATCGCAATTACCGTCAGAGCCACTATGAATAAGCCACGCATCAAAGTCATGGCACTCGAACCATCTCGGCGCTTAAGATCATTGTTGCCACTTTTCTGAAGGTTTGCTCTGAAATCGCAGGGAATGGTTTTCCGTCCTCGAGAAACTTTGAAACGGTAGCCCAGAGAGCAAAACGATATCGTCAAGTTTCCCGATACCGTACTTATGGCTCTGGGAGTCGCATTTTCCTATCGCAATGCCACACGCTGTGGACCGGGCACCAAATTACGTCGCCCACAGGAAAATCACGGAATAGAGCGCCAACACTCCCAGCGTGGCTTATTTGATGGCCCTAATTACCGCAGGAAGCTTGCTTGAGATAAGGCTGCTCTTAGGTGCTACTATACTGATTCTAGATATGATGTGAAGCATATGCTGAGGTTACAAAAGTAACTCCGAATATGTGATCAGCGAACCGCGAATTTATGAACAATATTTTGCGCACATTGCGACGAGGAGCCCTCTAAAAACCTCGCAACAACGGTAACTTTCTTCTTTTTTTTTTTTTGCCGCTGTCGTGATTTGTTTGTTTCAGTCTTTCTGACGTCGAAAACAGTTCTTTAAGATACTATTTCTAAAAATGCCGGAAGCCGCCTTGAAAATATTTTTGTTGGCAATTTACGTCCCCGCGAATTTTCGTTCCAGTAAGAGGACAAACATTCCCCGCCATAGCACCGCTGCTCGTGATGTTCATGAAGTATTTTACGGCCAGTTCTCCAGGTGGTTAGCTAAAGGACCGGCTAACGAGAGTTTTATCGGATATGTTTTTTTTATTACTCGCGTAAGACGACTGCTTTCTTCTTATACGTCGAATGGCACAGCATAAGGACCTCGCTTTATCAAAAAACTTCGTGAATTCGCGTTGAACTTCATCGACTAGGAATTTTGACATGAGCAGGCTCGGAAGGCCTGCCAAAGGGCAGCGACCAGAAGCCTCCTGGGAGCCAAGAGACTGCTTGTGTTTGGAAAGAGTAAAAGGGTATTAAGAAACGCGGACCTTATCGCTTCGCAGCGAATGAGAATGCAGCTTGAGCCGATTGGAACGCCTCAGAACAAATGACCAAGCGTGAGCACGATAATGCGCGCCTTGCGTCTTTTAAACTGTCATTAAAGAGCAACTCCGCTCAGTTCCGAAGTTTTCGGGATAATGAGTGATTTCGCATTAAAAAGCAAAAATAAAAGACACTATGTCATTGGCTTCGCGAACAATAAATGGGGATATATATCGTTAAATCTAATTTTAAACACGAGCAGAAATCGAAACCGAAACTTCGGTGCCGTCCGGCAACATTAGCCTCGGGCCGCGAAGAACATGGCTATCACGTGGTACGAGATGTCACGTGATCCTCTACGCAACAACGAGCGGGGATTGGGGTACGCGTGTGCCAGGCGCAAGTGTCGTCTGCACCGCACTCTTGTCACGTTTCGGTGTCTACGACACTCGACGACGTCCGAACAACTACGGCAAAAATCTGCGCACGTAGTGTCCGTAGTGTGAACGAAACTTCAAGAGACAATAATCACAAACGGTCAGACGACAACGGCGGTTGTGACGCGCGAAACGGCGGGACCGCGGCGGGCGGCCGGACGGCTCCCAAGAAGCGCGCTGCGCAGGCGCGTTACGCCAATCACGCGGACGCCGCTGAGCGCCGAAAGGAAACGTTGCTGACGTCACTCGTTACGCTCGCCCGGAGAAGTAAAAACATGCTAGAAGGGGCAGTGGTGATGACGTTTAGCTGAATGTTGGCTGCGCCTACGCCGTAGCCTTTACTGCGCTGTTGGCCCCCTCGAGCCAGCCGATTTCGGCAACTTGGCAAGTTGCAAAGTTTGTCGGACAGTTTAAGACACGTTTAGAGAGAACTTGGCCGTAATATTTGACGTGTAGTCTTCTTAGGTGATATTGAAAAGGACTGCATTGTTCTTTCAAAAAGAAAAATAAAGCGGAGTTACCCTTTAAGTAAAGCGTGGAGTAGGCAGCTATTCTCACGGCTTTTCTGGCAGCTCTCGTTGATACATTTCCACTCTTCATTATCCTTTCAACTGTGTTTGACGTAAGGAAGTGAGAAACACTTAAAACAATCATAAGCTACGGGTTTACGTGGGATTGCGCATTGACTGTGAATTACTCTTAAACTTAACTATTGCCAGGCTGACGTACTCGCCAAGTGCCACTCTCGCCAAGCAGCTTAGGAAAGGCCTGTTTACTGAACTATCGGGGTATTTAATCCTTGTACCGTCCAAGCGGTTTCTTTTACATATTTTTCAATATTTTTTGTTTTTGTTTCATTATATGAAACCAAGATACGCCTGAGGGAGGTGCCGGTATACGTCCAGTGTTTACCTATCCTGAAGAGATATAAGTAGAGAATGTGCTGTCCGTAACTCTTGGAGTAAGCTGCCTCAGTCTTGCAGTTTACTGTAGAACTATCATAAGCGCTGCCGAAGAGATCGTATTTGGGTTTGAATTTGTTTTTAAGCGATTTACAAGCTATATGAAATATAGCTTCCGTAATATTTTCGGAACCTATTAGCGACTCTTCGTTTGGCATATTTTAGAAGTATAATGAAGGTGAAAGGTTTGCGCATAAAGCGTCGCTGTTAGTACGAAAGTGTCCATTTTGCAAATCTGGTTTTTTACGACGAGGGTAAGATGTAATCGTAATATTACTAGAAAATTCCATTTTGAAAGCTGGTTTCAAATCGGGTGCATTTTGGGAATCTCGCGAGCAAAGCTTCGCCTCGGTCCTCTGACAGCCAACAAAACAAGCTTTGCGTGTTTCTGACTCTTTCATCGTAAGTTACTCCATATCGTTGTCAATAGATTTGCGACATGCGTGAACACAAGGCAAGAAACTAGTAATAAAGAAACCTTGTCTGGAGTTTCGGGATCGACAGTTATTCTTCTGGACGCGAATGAATTACTCGAATCGTTTTATTCTCGATTTAAACATTATTATGACGCATCCTGAAATATTTGGGCTCATGGGTGCTTGTACTCATCTTTCTTTATAATCTTAGAGTTATATTTGTTTACATGAAATGCGCTGTGTTGTTGTTTCATGCCAGTATCTGAGCGGATTAAAAAAATAAATGTTGGTCTGTGCCCAATTTGTTGTGGCCAGCAGTTCATTGCTTCATATCATTGCGTTCCCAAAGTTTTTCTAATGATACCGCAATTAGTTTCAGATTGTTTTATTCGCGCTTACGTCTTCTGATAAGGAGTACCACTATATAGTGCCTCTCCTCAGCTACACATCGGGTATATGATGCAAATTCAATGCTCTATAATATTTCAACACAAAATTGTCTCCGACTGGAAAGTTTACTTCGTTATGAGCTTTTTTTTTGTTATTTTTTTTTTCTGGCACGCTTTTTATGAGTACACCCCTTCTCCTGCGGTAGATATGTCAGTAGATGACGATATTCTGACACACCAAATCGAAGGAACATCAAAAATAGCGAGGAAAGGATCTCAAAGCGCACTTCCTACTAAAAACAAAACGCCAAAAGCAGGCACACGATATTACGACATCTCAAGACTGTATGGCAACAACGGCTACAGCGACGTGCGGCGTAGCGGTGTGCATATGCTCTAAGATTAATATCTCTCCAGGGAAGAAAAAAAAAAGGGGTCTCTCATATTTACCCTCTTCTTTATTTAGTTCCGTCACCCGTTGGACTCTTTTATCTTCTCGTTGCTGCTTTTTCTGCACGCGGTCTCACAATGGACGGGGCCCTCGCGCACAATATCTGCCCGTTTGCTCGGGCAATATTGCGCACATTTTGTCCCAGATACTTTGCATAAGCAAACTTTACGAAGGAATCTTTTTCCTATATTCCTTCGCCGCTAGGTCTCTCTTTTTCTCCCTCTCTATTTACTTACATACTTTCCTCCGACGGTGCTTTTTCTTCGTCGGCATTTTCGTTTGTGTAACTTCTGCCCTCCTTCCCCCGCAAAGTCGTCTTTGAACTTTTTTTTTTTTTGTCTCGCGGTTTTTGCAGAAATATTACTTTGCCGGGGGCCATGTCTAAGTTACTCACTTTTGTATTTGCATTATTTGTAGGTTTTTGTTCGTTAGCTTACCGACTGATAGGGTTTGGCTTATGCTACGAACCCTGCACGCTCTTCCTAGGGTACACACGTACATGTACGATTATTCTAGCGGTGTACCTTTCGAGGTTAGGAAAGGTCTAGCTTACGTGCGCTTTGCTTACCTTTCACCTCACATCTCCTGACCCTTGTACGCCCGGGTGAGATCATTTTCAGAATTTAGGAGAAAGCGCCTCTTGATGACGATGTTGTAGTATAGCGTTTCTCTGGATAAAGCATAAAGATAGGGCAGTTATTAAATATGTTGATTCACTGTGTTGTATGAGCCACCGGACTTGTTGTTGTTAGCAGCCTAAGCTGACTATTCTGCCAATTTGTTTCATCTGTGTACCTGTAGAGATTTGTCAAACGGAGTGAAGTTCTGTCTTACAGCACCAGGTGGCACGAATATGCGCAAAATATGCGGTGGTGGACAAAATAAACTGGCATGCGTCGAAGCGTCGTCTCGCTTGTTTATGGTACCTGGAGGTGTTAAGAAGGCTAAGGCAGTGAGTGGTTCACACCCCTGGATGTTCCGCGAACCGCTTGTTGATCGGCGGAGATGATGGAAGACCCCGTTCGCGATGAAGGTTATTAATAATAATGATTTAATAAATTGATATAACTAAGGGCTACTGTGAAGTAGACTTCTCTGATTG